TAGCAGCTCCCTTAAACTTACTGTCAAATTTGTGATACATAATGTTCGTTAACCGCCTGATATTAAAGAATGAAAACCTTTTAGGGATGAAGCCCGTTTGGTCCGGATGGACAATAGAGGAAATATGTTTATCTAGCCTATTTGCCAGTACTTTAGCGAATATTTTAATGTCGGAGTTCAATAGTGAGATAGGACGATATGATGAGGGCTCTGTCTCCTCCCTACCTTCTTTATGTATTAATGTGATATTAGCTTCATACATAGTGGGGGGAAATTTCCCTGAATCAAGAGAGTGAACGAACATCCTCTGGAGGAGGGAGCAATCTTCTGGGCATATCTCTTATAGAGCTCAGTTCCGAAACCATCTGGTCCTGGGGCCTTGGCATTGGGAAGTGATTTGATTACATCAACAATCTCTTCCACATTAATGTCTGCATTGAGCGCCTCTCGCGCGTCTTCACTCATCTTTGGGAGGTTCAGATCTTTAAGCCAGCTTGAGATATTTCCTTTTGCTTTAGACCTGTATAGTTGCTCATAATATTCCTTAAATGAATCGTTTATATTTCTTGGTTCAATTACAATTTTTCCTGTCTTGGATTTAATTTTATGTATTGCCCTGTTGGCCTGCAAGCCCCGCAGCTGACGAGCCAACAGTTTATGGGGTTTATCACTCAGCTCAAAGTGTTTCTGCTTAATTTTAAACATCTGATCGAGCACCCGCCTGGACAAGATAGTATTATATTCATATTTTAAGATGAGGATGTTTTCTAAAGTCAAAGGATTGGAAGAGGACTTGTAATTAGATTCTAAGCGTGCTAATTCAGTCTCAATTTCTGAGAGGCGTTTCCGTTTTTGTTTTTCAGGAACTTTTCAAAAGAAATAATATGACCCCTGATCACAACTTTGAAAGTTTCCCATAGTGTAGAGTCTGTAACATCTTTTGTATCGTTAGTATCTATAAAGTCAGAAATTTTATATCTAGGAATTTACAGAATGTCTCCTCTGATAGAAGGGATTGGTGGAAACGCCAGAAATATTGTTGTTTCCTATGGCTAATCGAGAGTCAGTGAGATTGGAGAGTGATCAGAGATTAGAAGCGTATGGTATTTGGAGGATATCACATTAGGTATTAGTTTAGCATCCAACAGAAAATAGTCTATTCTTCAATAGGATTTATGCACATTTGAGAAAAAGGAATAGTCCCTGTCCACCGGATGCTGCAGTCTCCAAGCATCAACCAAATCTGTTGTTGTCATGAGGTTGTTCAAAACCACAGAGGAGGAGGGTGGTTGTCTCGTTCGGGCTGATCTATCCAAATGGGTGTCAAGCACGCAATTGAAATCCCCTCCCAAAATTAGGCATGTGTCAGCCAGGTCCGGGACCAGGTTGAATATTTTCCTAACTAAGATACATTAAGAAGCGTGACATGAAAGGAATATAGATAGCCCGTTACCAATATAAATCTGCCATTTGGGTCAGTCACAGTAGAGATGTGTCTGAATGGAACTGTCCTGCGTATCAGAATTGCCACCCCACGAGCTTTACCTGAAAAGGTGGACTGAAAAACTTGGTTTGCCCAACTGCATCTCAGTAACCCCTCCCTCCCTGGCCTTATGTGTGTTTCTTGAAGGTATATAATGTCCGCAGAGAATACTTTAGCCCTTTTTTAGACATGCCCCAAGCCCCTAACATTCCAGCTGGTAAAAGCTATGCCACCGCCTTGCGAATGATACACAGAGATTTTTTAATAGAATGTCTTCAGTGCACTCATGAGTTAGCCTGACCGAGTATTGAAACACATAGAATATTTTTTTAAACATAAAAAACCACAACATTCCCCCAACCCCCCATCCCTCCCAAACAAAGCGAGAGTAAAAGCCCCACATAACCAATAGGGAAGCCGGGCCGCGTGGGCCATACAAATACGAAACCAACTCCACAAAAGGCTCCCTCTCCCACTCAGATTTTACAAACTTAGATTATGATACAAACATTAAGCTGTTATAGAAGTCATTCCGGTCCTCAGTGACCCGAAGCAAAAAGCACATACCACAGTGTCTCCAACTTCCAGATGCTCAGTGATTCTGTAAAGTTTCTGCAAAAACCTCTGCGTCCCGCGGGGAGGAGAACGACTTATCCGTAGAGCCGATGGTGACACGTAAACGTGCTGGGTATAGGATGCCGCACCTCGCTCCTGCAGCCGCTTCTATACGCCGTCGAAAGCCTGCCGCTGCCTCATCACCTCCGCCGGGTAGTCAGGGAAGATGTGAATCGGCTTATCCTTGTGGCGGAGGGGGAACTGCTGACGGGCCAGTCGTAGAATCGTCTCCTTCACATGGAAGTGGTGAATTTGTGCTATCATTGCTCGCGGCCGCGCGTTGTCAGTCAGCCTGGTTCCCAGATGCCGGTCCACCTCCAGCCGCGTGTGAAAATGGTCCGCACCAAGCAGTTCTGGAATGAACTTCGTCAGAAACTCTCTCGGAGATCCACCCTTGATTTTTTCCGGCTATCCGATGATTTTAATATTCTGCCGTCTGCAACGGGCCTCCAAATCGATCAGTTTCACGCGTAGAGCTTCATTCTCCGCCCGCATCCTGGCACTGGTCTCTTCCAGTTTGGAAAGGCGGCCCTCGTGGTTAGATGTAGCTTCTTCCACCTCTTTAATCCGGTCGACGAGGTTTAATAAAGATGCCTGGGTCGAAGCTAGTGCTGCTTCGAGATCGTTAAATTTATCATTCATTGTCTTGCTCATATTATTTATTGCAGCTAGGATGGTGGAGGATCCCGAATTATGCTCACATGCTAGTTCAGCTTCTGTTGCGGTCGTCGCTTGTGTAGCTAGCTCCGACACGTGCTGTCCAGTCGTCTCTTCCGAGGTCTTATCTTGCTTCTTTCCTTTATCCGCCTTGGGTTTAGTCATCCTCGATGTCAAGACAGTCAGTCAGAGCAAGGAGGAACCAAAAAATGAGTGGAATATCAATGCAAATGTAAAATTATTTTGAGCGGTGAGGAGCCGAAAGAAACACGTCTACTCCATACGGTGCTCACTTGCGCTCCCCAATTTCTGTTTAACTTTTGACCAGATTTTTAATTGGAATTTTACCAAGGGTTTTCAGTTCTGAGTAGAATCTGTTCTAAATCTTTATTCTCCAATACTGCCTACAGAGAGGGATCCAGATGAAGAGCTAATTCAATGTCCTTCCATCAAGCATTATAGTTTTTATTACAAAAGTTTATCAGTTTAATTTGTGCAGAGTAGAAGTAATTCTTTAAATGTGGTACATTCATGCCCCCTTTTTCTTTTGAGAGCTGTATGTTTTAAATCAAATTCTCTGCTCTTTTGCTAGCCATGTAAATGTGGAAACCTTGTATCCTACACTACAGATTGCTGTTTTGTAATTTCTACCGGTAGGGCTTGGATCAAGAAGATAAAGCTTGGTAATAGGTTCATTTTCACAGATTCTATTCTTTGGGTTAAACTCATGAAGGAGATGACAGTCCATTGTTATATTTTCAAGCTAATTTTTATTCAGATTGTGGTTTCAACTCTATCTGTAAATAAATAAATCAATCAATCAATCAAATTTTATTTGTATAGCACATTTCAGCTACAAGGCATTTCAAAGTGCTTTACATCATAAACACAAAACACAAAGGCATGCAGCATAGAATAAAATACCAAGTTTTTTTTTTTTTCCCCTTCCCTCCTCTTTCCCTTTCTTCCCCCTTCCCTTTGACACGGAATTTGAGCGCCTGTTACCGCCGGACTCCGCCGTCCGTTTAACCACGGGTATTCGCCGGGCCCCGTTGCCCACAACAGGGGAAAAAAAAAAAAATAAAAAATAATAATTTACATACATATCCACAAAATCAAATCCATACATATTACATTTCAAATGTAACTCTAAACAGGTGCGTTTTTACTTGAGATTTGAAGGAAGTCAGTGTTTCTGCTGTTTTACAGTTTTCTGGAAGTTTGTTCCAAAGTTTTGGTGCGTAGATGCTGAAAGCTGCTTCTCCTCTTTTGGTTCTGGTTCTGGGGATGCAGAGCAGACCAGAACCAGAAGACCTGAGAGTCTGGAAGGTTGATACAACAACAGCAGATCTTTGATGTATTATGGTGCTAAACCGTTCAGTGATTTATAAACTAACAACAGTATTTCAAAATCTATTCTTTGAGCTACAGGGAGCCAGTGGAGGGACTTTAAAACTGCTGTTATGTCTCTATCTTCCTGGTTTTAGTGAGAACAGGCAGCAGCATTCTGGATCAGTTGCAGCTGGAGGATTGATTTGTTGGACATGCCTGTGAAGATGCTGTTGCAATAATCAATGCGACTAAAGACAAACGCATGAATGAGTTTCTCTAGATCTGGCTGAGACATTAGTCCTCTAATCCTGGAGATGTTCTTCAGGTGATAGAAGGCCGACTTTGTTACTGTCTTTATGTGGCTCTGGAGGTTCAAGTCTGAGTCCATCACTACTCCCAGATTTCGGGCCTGATCGCTAGGTTTTAGTTGTAATAACTGAAGCTGTGCATTGACTCTAGTTCTATAGCTCTAGATTTATAGCTCTAGATCTATAGCTCTAGATCTATAGCTCTAGATTTATAGCTCTAGATCTATAGCTCTAGATCGTTCCTCTTTAGGTCCAAAAATAATGACTTCAGTTTTGTTTTTGTTCAGTTGGAGAAAGTTTTGGCACATCCACACATTTATCTGTTCTAAACATTTATTCAGTGATTGGAAGGGGTCAAAGGTCAGCTGGTGACATCATAATGTAGAGCTGTGTGTCATCCGCATAGTTGTGGTAGCTAATATTATTTCCTGTTATGACCTGAGCTAGTGGGAGAATATAAATATTAAATAAGAGGGGTCCTAGGATTGAACCTTGGGGTACTCCACATGTGACCTTTGACCTCTTTGATGAGAAGTTTCCAATTGAAACAAAGAAATAAATGTGTCTTTAATAAAAATAACGGTGTTGTATGAATTGTAATCCAGCTTCTACCAGATGATCCTGACAAGAAGCCACAAGCCAAACAGCTCCAAGCGAGAGCAGACTACCTCATCAAATTACTGAGCAAAGACCTGGCCAAAAGAGAATCACAGAAACAAACTGGAACAGTAGGTCTCATTTTCGTCAGTTTATTCTTCCACATTAAGACCTATTAAAATGTCTTAATGATTAACTTTTTGAATGTTGTCTAGGTTAATTCACGGAAGAAGAAACCAAGAAGAAAAATCAGCAAAACTCTAAAGTCAATAAAGGGGGATGATGTGATCAAGAGCCCATCTTCAGATCTGACTTCAGACAAGAGATCTGATGATGAGAATGAAATTGATGTGGAAAAGGTAAACTTGAATCCTATTTGCCTATTTTGTTATTTACTGCCTTAAATCTTAGTTTTTATGGGTATTGTAACATGGTTTACTGTTTTAGAGGATGGCAACCGGGAGGACTCCAACCAAACATGTTCAAGAAGACAAGTTAAAGGGAAAGGACAGTTATGATGAGGATCATGAGCATCAAGCTTCTTCATCAGAGGAGAGAGACTGTGACGAAAAAGAGGGAAAAAAAGAAGAGGCTGAAAGCTGTGACATTAAAGAGAGAAAGGAGCCAGTACAGAAACAGGAGGATGACAACGGAGAAAAGGTGGTAAAAGTTGTTTAATGACAAACTGAACAACTATGTTTTGTTCATAAATTAAGAATATCTAACTTTGATTCCTAATTCTTTTCATCAGATTGAAGTAAAAACCGAGGTACGAGAAAGGACAAAGAGAGCTTCAAACTTATCAGTTCAGAAGGCATATACTGCAGATAATGTGCCAGTATGTGAGGAATCTGAGGAATTGGACCAAAGAACTTTCAGCGTGGTATGTTGATCAGTGCTCCAGTTTTATTCAGTCACATTGGATATAAACTGAAGTAGTGAAGTAAACAGCATGTGTTGACACAAGAGGATAGGACAGCAGATGTGACTTATCACAATATTCTTATTCAAGTGTGTGAACCCATAAGCCCTTTTAAAAATGAGAAATTAACTGGATTTTGAAAATAAGACTAGGTCACAGCAATGTGTCATTATTTTCGGTTTACAAACTGTAAACTGTTTTTAACATCTAAGATTTCTGTAAAAGTGGCCAGCATTACTAAACAGACATAACTTATTGTGAGAAGTTATTGAAGTCAAAGCTGAATTTAACCCTTTCATGCATGAATCATGATCCTTTGTGTCTGAATTTTTTTTTTTCCTAATTTCTTAGATTTTTTTTTAAGGCATAAAATAAGGTAGGGAAAACATATTTGTAAAAAAAAACAAAAAACTGATCAATTATAATTTTCTCCAAATACAACATTATTTGAAAAATGCATCAGTAGTATTCTTTAGGGGTTAACTGATGTCACAATACTTTTTTGTTACCTGCAAGAGATGTCTACAACAGTCGTCCCCAACCCCCGGGCCACAGACCAGTACTGGTCCATGGACCAATTGCTGCTGGGCCGCACAAGAAATAATTCATATTTCCGTTTAAATAATCCTTCAGACTCATTATCTGAGTCTGAAGGATCTTTTATTTTGAGAATCCTTTAGCTGGATTCTCTCGGTTACGTCAACATTGAGCCCACAAGCAGCACAGTGAGTAAGAAACAGATCAGATTCTTTGGAAAGTTTCTTTACGAAGGGGAAAAGGCCCAGAGAAGAGACATGAGAATGGATTTACCCCAGTAAGTGATTCCCACATTCCAAGCCCGCTCCAACCGGCTCGCTAATGAGGGAGCCGGTTGGGAACGAAGCCTTCAAACTGCTTCGCCGTTTACATGACAGTGATCCAACAAAAATGACACTTTTGTTCCATTTCTGTTAACACATTTACATGAATACATGTAAATGTGTTAACAGAAATGGAACAGTGCACCTCGAGTGTTATTGTCCTCCATCAATCCCAGATGGACTGCAGAGAAACAAGCTCAGGGCTCCCATTCATTTGTCATTATCAAGAGTTAAAATTTTCATGAAAATAAGTTTGTTTGTGTTTTTTTTTTTGTGGCACGTGTATCTTATTTTGAAGTGATGTGTAAATGTTGCTATTGCAAACAAAGTCAGCGAGGGCAGTGGTCGAGACGAGAGCTTGAGTTTTAAATCATGCCATCTGGTTCACATGGCATGATTTCAGAAATATTGGCCGATTTCCCAAACCTCTGTTACCACACCCAACACGAGCCGGTAAAAGAACAACAGGTTCGATGGGTTCATGTGTCCAGCTACACGGCAGGAGCAACACACCGCACACACGAGCCGATTTCACTCAAACATCCCAATTCCAGAAAATCCCGTGAAATCCCCAACATACCATAGGTGAATTTAAAATAAACAAAGTGGGATGAATGACGATGTAGAAACAGTGATGTTTGTGGACTCATTTTAAGCAATAAAAGACGTAACAAATAGAAACGAAAAGGCGTTGAATAAATGGTTGGGGGTGCTCGTCACTTCCCCCTGACCCCCAACCTCCGATTTTCAACGTCCAGCAGTGTGTGGTCGTGCTTTGTGTTAACGTGTGACTGTCTTGGCCCTTTTATCGCAGCCTGTTGAACGTGTCAGGTAGTCAATCAGAAAGGGCAGTGACATAAGAACATAGGGAATCGCAAATAGTTTATTACAAATGTTTATTACAATATGTGAAAGTCTCTGTAATATATGTTTACTATATATTATGTTTATTCATAACTCACCTCCAAATCATAGTGCAGCAAATAGAGTGGCTGCTCCCTTTTATCAAGCACCTTTTCTTTTTGTTTCGTCTTTTATCGCTTAAAATGAGTCCACAAACTATCACTAAGCGTAATCCGAGTTTGATTATTCGAAATTCACTGTGATATGTTGGGGGTTTTAATGGATTCTCTTCAGGAATCGGGATGTTCGTGACTGGAATTCGTTGTGTGTGGTGTGTTGCTCCTGCCTTGTGGCTGGACACACAAACCGACCGAACCTGTTGGACTTTTATCGGCTCGTGTTGTCTGTGGTCACAGAGATTTGGGAAATTGGCTGATAATCCTTAAATCATGCCATGTGAACCAGACCTAAGACTCACAAGCTCTAGTCCTCTCCTCTCGTCTCGACCGCTGCCTTAACGCTCTCTGACTCTGGTCACTATGGTAAGAGTTTTGTAGCCAGGTAAGAGGGTGAACAGAGTAAAAAGAACTGGACTATTCACACATTTCCTTTGACTGGTGCAAAGGAAATGTGGTGCAACCCCAAATATTTTTCCATCGTGCTAATTAGAAATTTGTAACCAGATTGTTCCCACTCTAAAGCCTTGCCTAAATATAATTGTCTGTAAGGGGATATAGACAGAACCTTTTGTTGTATAAGTCTACAGGTGTCTTTTTCAACATTTGTGCACCACACAGTGAAGGCAAAGAATTCAAAGCCTTTCAGTGACTAGTCTGCAGGAAAAGAAAGAAAATCAAAATGGTTGCCTTTGTGACTTTTCCCACTTTTTTGAGAGTTTCAGAACATAATATAGGTTTCATGCAACATAGATAAAGATGCAAGCAGTTGCTGCTCACAGTAGCATCCAAATAATCCCAGTGCTTATTCCATTGTAACCAAACAGCTTTAAACAGAAGGACGCAGATTCAAGACAAAAGTCTAACAGAGTAGATTTGGCTTAAAAAGCTTTGATCTTACATGTATGTGATTGTACTTTTGTTTGTTACTTGAACAAAGTGTCTGTTTAATGTTGCAGTGTAAAGAGAGAATGCGTCCAGTCAAAGCTGCCCTGAAGCAGTTGGACAGACCAGAGAAAGGACTGTCGGAGCGCGAGCAGCTGGAGCACACCAGACAATGCCTCATAAAGATTGGAGACCACATCACTCAGTGTTTGAAGGAATATTCAAATCCTGATCAGATCAAGCAGTGGAGAAAGTTAGTTTTTACATTGCAATCTGTTCATTTTCTCAAATCAAAATACTATAAATTTCAATGCAAGAGTTAATTGATAGTATGCTACAGATTCTGACCAAAGTGGTTAGTCATTGAACAACATGACATTCATTTTGTTTTACAGGAACCTGTGGATATTTGTCTCTAAATTCACAGAGTTTGATGCAAGAAAACTACACAAACTCTATAAGCATGCAATCAAGAAAAGACAAGAAAATGCCCAAGTATGTAAAATCATTGAATTAAACCTTATTCTTCTCCTCTTGACATTAAATGCTTAAAGAAAAGGCAACAGGATCTCTCTTATTAAAATTGTTTCACCTGTCATCCATCGATCAGTTTTGGTCTGAACATGGTTGGAAGTAACAGACTTATTAGCTCAGACATGTTCTGTGGAGGTTTTTAAAGCACATTTAAGAAACACTTGTTCACTCAGTCCTGTCTGTTTTGAATCCTATTGTTTTGTTTCATTGGTCTATTTGCATTTTTTTTATTTTCTCCTTGTAAATGTGCAGCGCTTTGTTTGAAAGCCCTTTGTAAATACTTATCATTGTCATTAGGCCCGAGCAGCGAAAGCGCTGCCAAGGCCTGTTGTAACTGTGCCGTTTCTTATTATGCTTTCGTCAAATGAGTTGGCTTTTTGGAGACTTTAGCATTCAAAAGCTCACCACATTTCACTCTAAATTGTCACACAACTAACGTTTTTGGATTCCAGTGGAATTGTAAGTGGGTGTGGCCAAAATGCTCTACAGTTCCCCCTAAAGTGAGCTCTTGGAGGTACCCCCTAAAATGTATAAAAAGATGGCCATTTTGGGTCAAAGGTCAAATTTAGTTGATTTTACATTTTACTCACATTGAACTTTAACGAACTCGTAGGGATTTTGACCTATCAGCTTCGTTTTTGGTCAAGATGCAGTTAAGGGGTGGGGCTTTAAAAGTGATTAAGAAAATTTAGTTTTATATATGTTCAGGAGGTGCAGCAAAGTTGGTGTTCTCGCCAACTTTGCTAAGATGAAGCGTTAGAACTTTTGCATAAAAAGGTCAATTGGCACCAAACTTGGCATGAGTGATCCTGGTTGGCTGTTTGATGTTCCTATGTCATTATAGTCTGACGACATCTAAGCCACGCTCCTCTCAGAACAGGAAATTACTTTTTACTTGGAAAGCTCTGTTTCTGACCCCCTTGAACTAATCAACATAATCTTGTGTCAGAAGACATATAAGGTAAGGTGATTTTATTTATATAGCACATTTTCAGCAACAAGACAATACAAAGTGCTTTACAGAAATTAAAACGAATACAAACCAGAGGAAAGAGAAAAAGAAGAAAAAGCTAATAATGTTCATCCAAAATAAATAAACTAGATACTCCCTTTTCAGGGTTGGTAGATAACTATAATAAGTATCCTCTAGTCTGTTGTTGTTGTTGCTAAGGTAGTTTTTCTGCATTCTAAGTTTTAATCCCTGTTCTGGGTGCTGAATAAAGTGTAAGTAAGTATGCTCTGGACTTCTGGGTTGCTAGATGAGTAGAAGTATTCTCTGGACTTTATAAGTGCGCTCTACATTTGTAAAAGTAATGAGTACTCCACAGTTTCTAAGTAATATAAAAAAGGTGCAGACAAACTAGTTATCTTTTCGATATTTTTTAGATAACTAGTTGGTCTCACTTGCTTTAAAGCACAGAGTTTTCGTTGGAGGGCGTGGCAGTGGCGGCACAGCGAAATGACAGGTGACGGCGTTGCCATATGTTTGGCTCTACACCAAGCAACACCAAACTCACTGTGATCAATCCTTGTCCATCCCCCGACAGGAATACAGTCCAATATTTGGGGGGCGTGGCCTAATTCCTCCACAACGCCCTCTGGAATATTTTTTAAAAATCAGCCCCAGTCATGCTTTGACCGAGAATTATGAAATTTGGTATACATGTATATCTTATCAGGACCCACAAAAAAAAGTCTCTTGGAGCCATGGTCCAAACCCAACAGGAAGTAAGCCATTTTGGATCAAAACCCCCACCTCGTCTTTTTTTATGTCATATCTGATCAAACTCAATCTGCACAGTCTTGAGGCTTGAAGGTCAAACGATATCCTCGGATTTTTCTGCTGGATGTCTTACTTTTACTCTTTGATTCATATAGGTTTGAACCTGTGCCAAGTGACAAACAATGAGATCATGATGAATTCTCTCAACGCTGGCTGAACAATGTAGGCGTTACTTAATGGCGAATATCAATCCCTTGTTGTATTCATACAGTTGTCTCTAAATCAAATGCATCATCTGATTTGCACCAAACTTTAGAGGTTCACAAAAATCAGTCATTTAAAGAGCCCAATAGAATTAAATAGCAATTTGACTCCATTGTGCCCCCTGGGTTATTCCATACCTCCTCACTACATCAGCTGATCTGCACCAGATTTTTTGTGTATTGTCAGAAAGCACTGCTGAACACATCAATGTGTATCGCCTAGCGGACGGGTGCAGGAGCTGTGCAAGACCGTTGACGGTGGCTGACGGATGCCGTTGCTGGAGCTCCTGCGGTTTCCGTGAGGCTGGTGCGGCATTAAACTGTGAGGGCCGTTTGAGGCTGCTTGCAGCTTTAATTATTCGAATAATTTTTCTTATATTACCATTATTACTATATATTGAATTCAGAGCAATGATATTAAGTCAATGCTGGACAACATAAAATCTGAACCCACCTGCTCTGTTTAGTTTTTGTTTTGATGGCTTCTCTCACGCATCTCACAAGTTCCTTCCCTGTCAAAAATGTGCACAATGCTGTCACCAAACGAGTATTCTTTGTCTTTAAGAAGTATGTTACTTCCAGCCATTTTCAGAACTTAAAGAAGACTTTTGGATTTAAGGTAAATCATGTTAAAGGAACAAGAAAAGTATTCCAATGATCTGTGCATTCATTGTCATGTCCAGGACAATTGCCAGGGTATTGTCATCTTAATAGAATATTACTATTGTGTCTCTAGACTGTGGAGCAGAACACGAAAGCTATAAACACTCAAGGTTATAAGCATGGAGGTAAGTGTCTTTTGAACGTATAATAATATCAAGAAACCACTGTTGATTCATTTTGGATATGTTTTTTGTGCATAGATGTTGAACGACTGAAGGACAGCTCCCACCAAGATGACAGCAGCAGAGATAGCTACTGCTCAGACAGACATCAGCCTTCAGGTAGATACTCTGAAAGCAGCAGCAATAAAGACAGACATGGCTCTGAGTACCACAAGAAGTCCAGTGTGGTGGACTCCAGGAAAAGACCATACTCTTCTTTCAGCAATGGGAAAGACCACAGAGATCATTATAAGACAGACATTCGAGACAGACAGGACAGGTAAGCATGAACATTCACATAAGAAGACACTTCTTATCTTTCTTAACTTTAAAGTAGAAGGAGAATAAGAAATTGACCATTACTTGCCTTTCATACATTTATCGGTAATTGGCCTTGCCTGACTATTGTTAAATAGGCATGTCTTGGAGCAGCTGCTCTGTTGACACAGTGACAGTCTGTCATTGAGCTATATCGAGGTTCTGGAGGACAGTGATTATTCTGTAAATGTACAAGTGCTTTCTAACTTTTGGAAAACTTAACTAGTTCTGAAAATGGTAAGATAATTTTTTTTTAGTTTTCAAGCATTTCTAACAAAGTGGGTAGATCCGAGAGACTCTGCCAAGTATGGGGATGAGTGGCTGTGACCTGGACAAAATAAACACTTTTCTCTAATTAAATACATTGTCACTATATTTATCAAATGTTCAGACTCCTCGGGTGACTTTTTTTCAAAACAACAACTACTAATAAATCTAGTGTTTCTTTTTCTGTTGTTTGCTGACTTTTATGGCGACAATGCTCTATGGCTCAGCCTGAACAAGCTTCAACTTCTGCCATTAGCCTCTTTGCTTCCTCAGCATTGCAGCCAGTCTCATACAGTCATCATATCATATCTAGACAGTTTATCAGCAGGGAAAATGGATATGGGTGTGAGAGGGAAACCTTCATGATTTGGGGCCTCAGTTTGCAGCTGTCACTAAAAATTCCCATTTGGAAAAATGTAGAAAATGCGGTGCACAAAAAGATTCAGACGTATAAAACCGTGGGCATGCCTGCACCTCTTTTTATGCATCCCAATTTGTTTAAACAATAAAAGATTCAAAACATGAGTTTGATGCTCCTTAGGTTAAATAACATTGAATAGGATCAGATTTTAGTGTATTTAGGTGAGATTTGCCACTTGGTAGTTTATTGTCCACAAACACGTTTGTGTGACTGCCTCACATTTTGACAGCAAGTAAAAATGCCACGTTCACTTTTATACATGCCAACTTGTGTGAATCAGCCATGTGAAACTAATGAGCTAATTTCACACAGAATCATATACGTTTTACTCCAGCAAGTATTTCCCAAATTTCACTTTGGAAATAAATTATGAAACAACTTGTGCATGGGCAAATTTGGGGTTACATTAACCCTAACCCTAACCCTATCTTCAGAGTATCTTTTTGAAGATAGATACTCTGAAAGTAGCATATATATGCATATGTTTTGTCCGTATGCTTACTTTGTACATAAGGCCCTCAAGCCGTATTTCTAACAGCTTCTGTGTTCGATTTAGTAAAATCTGGGAGAGGGAGAGTAGTTCAACTGGCCAACCTAAAAAGCAATAAGTTGCAATTGCAATTTACTCATTTGTGTTTATGAACAAAGAAAGTTCAATGTCAAAGATTCAACTCAGAGCATCAGATTGTTGCTGTGGAACAGCAACAGAGATCTGAGCTTTGCCTGTGACATCTGTGGTCACATCTACTTCTACAGCAACAAATGGGGCTGCACTGATGTAATTAGAAATGATATAAAAAGGACATCACTGACTGTTTCAATTAAATCATTCTGTATTCTGTTAGGCTAGCAAGACATTTGGAGACATTACTGTATTTTCTGGCTTGTCTGTCATCTTTTCTCAGCAAAGACATGTAAAAGTTCATAGTTGCCACGATTAGCTGAGCCCATGCTCTCATCATTTCCACAAAATGCCAGCTGCTATTTGGCAAGGAAGCAAGTTGCATTGATGAGCGCTTTAAAATCTCTCGATTCTCCTTTACCCAAGGATACTGACATGGAGCCTCCGCTGTTCATCTAAAGTCAAATCTATCCTCGACGTCCCAAACATTTTCAGGCTTTGAATGTGAGCGGTTGACCGCTCATGTGTAGAGAGGCTTCTTTGCAAATTCTTTGGCAACCCTAACCCACAAGTGGAAAACAGAAGGCAAGGGAAACATAAACGATGATTTCTGACAGAACATCCACAAAGCTAATCTTTTTTGTGTTCCATTCGAAAAGAGCTGGTAACCTTCTGTTTTGTACTTTGAAGCATACCTTTGTTGTTCTTCTTCCTTTACTTATTATTTCCTGTTTAGTTTGAAAATTTCTTTCGAAAACTCTTTAAATTTAGAGATGTATGATATTTTATTGGTGACGTACAGACAGGAGTAGCATGCTTTCATAGACTGGCAGCCGGTGCAGTTAACCAGACCAACGCCAGGTGAGGCTCGGCTCACTGCTGCCTCACCTGCTTCACTTCTGAGCATTTGAATGGAAAAATGTGAAAAGTCAGCGATTTTGAGAAAAACATAATCAGAATTTGTTAAGCTAAATGAAAAATAGGTCCTTTATAATACAAACCACTGGGTGAAAATATACAATATATTATGATAAATATATATCGCTATTATGTTTCCATGATGACCTCAGACATTAGTAGCTGTATGGAGTTATTTTGAGGGAAGAATAAATTTACACTTTTATATAAGTTTATATATATATAAGTTTATATTATATATATTGTAGGGTTGCAATCAAAAAAATCAAACAAAGTCCAGAAGTTATAGAGCTTTCATTCGTTTTATCTCTTTTTCCAAAAACATTTCCAACCAGTTACAGCATGACATGTTCACACACAAGAGGGAGAATCTCCTCTGATCTAACACACCTGCCTTTTAAACATTGGCTCTTCCTTGACTAATTAAGGGGTGGAGTCAACATTTACAAGTGAAAAAAAAAACATTTGTACTTCACTATATTCCTAGAAAGAAATTTACATTTCAACTAATAACCTTCAAAACTAAAACAAAAACAATCTGGGCCCCAAATTAAATCCAAGCACATCTCCCTTCCCTCTCAAACAACAGATTCTGAGGTTGATTGAAACACCAGGTCCTGGTCAGCACTGCTCATGGCAACACCTGACCAGGTGACCTCAAAGAAGAAAATGATTAAAACAAAAACACCAAACAAAGCAAGTTGCTTCCTCCAAACAAAATACACTTAATAAATAAATTGGAATATAGCAGCACAAACACATCACCTTTTAGGGAGGGGTAAATCCCTCACACACACACATATATATATATATATATATATATATATATATATAATATATATATATATATATATATATATATATATATATATATATATATATGTGTATGTGTGTGTGTGTGTGTGTGTGTGTGTGTGTGTGTGTGTCTAAAGACCCTTTCCAAGACATTAGAATATCATGGAAAAGTTATTTCATTCTACTGAAAAAGTTAAACTTTCATAGGTTATAGATTCAGGGCCCACTTTAAACAATTCACAGTATTTGTTCATAATTTGTGCTTCCAGCTTATAAAACTACCTCAAAGAGTAATTCAAAAACTTTGAATACTCTGAAGAAATCATCCTAAGCTACTTCTCAGTTTTTGCATCAAAAAGTGATAAAAATTCAAATATTGTACCTATTGTATTCAGTTGAAGAATATTTCCAAAAATTCTTGCTGTGTTCTAGTTTGAGCTTTTCTCGTCCCTATCCATTTTGGAGGAAGTCGTCTGCTGTCTTCCTCCTGTTTTAATGCTCCCTGACGGTGATTTTTGCTCAATTTTAATTACTTCCATTTTCCTTTTTGATGGGTGGAAATAAAGCAGCTTGAACCGCCATCAAAACAACGTTTGTGATCTCAAAAGCATGTGGTCAGTTTATACACCTTGCTTAAGATTTGTTTTTGAAACAATTTAGTTTGTAAACGTTAACTAATCATAGAAATCATAGTCAAGAAAAGCTGAGAAGTAAAGACAGATCCATATGTGACTATTATCTGCTCCAGGTTTACCCAGTTGATTCTGATGTGTTTCAGGTATTATAACGACAATAAACATAGGAAACTGGAGGAATTCCGCACCAACAGAGACCATCGGCAGGAGATGAAGGAGCTTTCTCATTCAGACTACCGTTCTTCCTACCGTTACCATTCAGACTGGCAAACAGAACAGAGAGCGTCAGCAAGTGGAACACGTTCTCCTCGAGATGAACGCTCACCTTGTGAGTCTCACTCACCATTTGACTACTCATCAGATCACAAGAGTACGCCTGAGCAGAACTGGAGCAACCGTAAGACATAACAGGAGCTGCTTGGTTCTACAGCAACAGTCCTAGACTCGGCAACTCAGTAAATGCCTTAGGCTGATTAGGGTTCCCTGTCATAAAGCTGTTTGAAGGGCTGTTTCAGTCTCTTCACTTCATTATTTCAGTAACAGTAACCTGTGAACCCTCTCAGAAAGAGAAAACGCAAAGGACTTGTTGCTCCATTAGACTCTACGGCTCTCAACAAAACGTTGTTACTATCCTAAAGCTTGAAGTGGACATAATTGACCCTTTATGCTGCCTTCAATTCCTCCCAGCAAATGACACTGGATCTTATTTTTGACTTCCCTCAGTCCTTGTCTTTGTATTCAGACTTAATGTGATCATGTTCCTTATTTAAGAGTTAAGACGGGAAGATGGCACTTCTCACGTGAACCGTGACACTTGGTGATGTAGAGCTGTCTGGTTTATTCCAGTATGGACTCAGGCTCAACACCTGCAGTACCTCATTTACAACATTTTTTTTTTCAGTTTTTCCCACCAGCAACTTTGTAAATTGTTTAATAAGATAAATAGAAAATTGCAACCTGGATTTTTTTACATAAAGTAATGCTTTTGTACATATTTTTTTATGTTTACTTCTGTAAAATAGTGAATCAGTGAACTGTTTCCTCAGGCTTATTATTATGACTCCACGTTTCTCTTAACTCAGGCTTTTTTCATCATTCTATCAGTGAGTTTTTTGTCAGAAATAATCAGAATGTATTTTTAATGGGAATGCTCAATTTATTCACTACTGCAAAGTTCTTTGGTGTAGTGAAATGAAAAGTGAAAGCTGACCTCCATTACATTTTTATTGTGTAGTTTCAGCAAAAGCCCCTGTAAGAATTAAAATCAACTTGATTTTTATTTTTTACTTTTCAATTTATTTTCCATGTAGGCAATAATATTGTCAATGTGTCTATGCAGCCAAGTATATTTGTTGTGAATCACCTAACTGAATGAAGTCACTGTTGAGGTTTAAACTTGTATAAATTTCCTATATATTTCCAAAGGAATTTACACTGAAAGTGCATGCATTTTTATGGGCTGTTTTTATATGGTTTTATAAAATCATTAAAATATGTCACTGTCTTCAGATGCAAACTTTTTTTTTTAACAAACTGCTGTTTTACTCTGTTTTGACTCAATGTAGGGTTAGTCAGTGACATCAGCCATCAGAGGCATGTAACAGTAGTTTCAGTCCACAAACCAATTTCATCACTTGTGATTTCCATAATGCAACAGAAGATTAGTGACCTTTGTCATCTGAATTTATATCAAGTCCAGCATGTTGAGTCCTGTAGCCAAACTGATTCCAATGAGGTTCCATCTCAGCACCAACTTTAGATGACTTTGAAATTTGACAGTCATCTATTTTGGATACCATGAAATTGGCTTCTGGTAATAAGGTAAAGAACCTTGGTGTTTAGAAATATCCTAAGAGGGGAGCAGGGAAAATCAGTTCATGTATTTGTTACTTCGATGGTGGACCAAATGTAATTCCTTACTATTAGAAAGTTTGAAAATTCAGGTAAAAGTCTTCCACTTATCTAAAACGGTAAGTTCTGTCATATATCAGAAATTATTTTGTGGTAAATATATCAGGCAATTTTGCTTGAAAGCAAGCATGCTCAATGGCAATTCTACAATAAATCCTGACAATCTCATTAACATCCACTGTGATTTCACTACCTTAATGAGTCTGAACATGCACCATCAGGTAAACTTTGATTCAGTCTTAAACATCCAAAATGATTAAAACTCTGGAATAAGTTTGGGTTTTAATCTCTTCTAAAACAAAATACACAAAACCTGGACTTCCAGAAGAAGTCAAGATAGCACTGGAACACAAGTTCAATGCCATATTCATGCACTTTATTCTTTTCAATTCACTTGGCTAATGTTGACATGATTCTGTCTTCCCAAAACTCCTATCACCACTTGCATCTCAAAACCCCAAATTTAGTTTCTCAGAACACTATATAAAATATATATGAAAAAGAAATGTCAGACTTCAGAAAGGTATGCTCTTGGTATTTGGTTCGGACTCCTTTTGTATGAATTACTGCTTCAATATGGCATGTCATCCCTGAATACCTCTTCTGAGTTTTCCAGGAAGCTATTACAGCTGCCTTGAGGTCATCTGCACTGCTGGTTCTGGTGTCTACAGTAGCCACCACCTGAGGGAGTGGTCAACTATCCCTTGCTGGTTATATTGAAATAGTGCAGAAATTCACATTGGCCCTAATACTTAGAATAACACAAGTTAGCTTGTCATGGACTCACGAAGAAGTCAGCTATTGTCTATAGCCGTGGGCATCTTGAGATTATTCTTCTTAGGGGTGTTGGTCTGGAGCGCACACAGGACACAGGACGTAATAAAATTGTAATTTCATCTGAACGTCCTAATTACAATGAACTGTGGCCACTGTGGGCTGCACAGTGGCCACAGTATTAATTTGAAGAAGCCTCTGACTGAAGAAACATTATCCCAAGACAGTCTCATGAAGAGGATGGTCAGGGTCGTCAATAAATGGATTTTATGAAGAATCCTTCTTTGCATCGTCATCTCTAGAAGTTGCAGTTCTGGGCAGAACTAACCTTCTTTATCAGGTTGTTTAACCCTTCTAGGTTCCTGGCTCCTATCCTCATTTTGAGTTCCTAAACTCAAACTGCACTTCTCCAAATTATTATGCACAGCAGATTTTTCAAACATTTTATGGATTATAAAGAACTGCAAAATGTCATTCTTTGAATGTACTAAAATCAAAAGCTATTTCAATCAAAAACATCTTAACAGACCAAGTTACATGTTAACATTGGACCTTATTTGGTATCACCTGCACAATTCTTGCATCCATTGAACTTGTGAGTTTGTGGAAAGTTTCTGCTTGAATTTCTATGCAGGATGTCAGAAAACCTTCCCAGAGCTGCTGTTTGATATGAACTGCATTCCACCCTCAAATCTTCTGCTTGAAGAAACTCCAAACGTTCTCAATAGGATTGAAGAGGAGGATGGTGAAATTATGTTTCTGGGTGACAAATTATTTGCCCAAGGTGTTCAACCAGATTAAGATGGCTTTTATTTTATCTTCAAGATGCCACCGCCCATTGACAAAACAGGTGTTTTGCGCATCATGGGGATGATCAAGTTTATAGAAAAATTTATTCCCAACTTAAGTGCAAAGATGAAAAATATTTGCAAACTCCTGTACAATAGTCAATTCCAGTGGACAGAAGTCCATGAGCAACAGTTCAAGGAACTGAAAAAATATCTTGACTACAGAACCAGTGCTCACCTATGATCCAACTAAAAACATAAAACTGTCGACAGATGCCTCAAAAGATGGACTTGGAGCAGTTCTTCTTCAAGCTGAGAATGACCAATGGAAACCAGTAGCTTATGCATCCAGAGCCATGACAAAAGCTGAATGCAGATATGCTCAGATAGAAAAAGAATGCTTGGGGCTGGCTTATGGGCTAGAACGGTTTCATAACTGTGTATGGTTCTGAAAGATGGCCTACCATCTTTTGTAGATGAAACTGATCACCGACCCTTGGTTGCCATCATTAAAAAACATCTGAATGAGATGTCACCCAGGATTCAAAGGCTTATGATGAAGATGATTCACTGATCTACACACCAGGAAAACATCTGATTCTTGCTGATGCTCTGTCTAGAGCCCCTACACATGATAGTGTGAGTTCAACTGAAGACGATATTCAATGTCATGTGAATTTGGTGTCCAATGTGTTGCCTGTGTCTGTGATAGAAAGTCACAGCAAATAGTTGATGCAACAGCTAAGGATACAACGTTACAGTTGGTCATACAGAATATGGATGAAGGATGGCCAATAGGTCAGCTTTAACATTGAAAAACTGAACATGAGCCTAAGTGTTGTGAATGGACTGTTACTGAAAAACAACAGAATTGTGATTCCACAAGTGTTACGACGGGGCATTCTCCAGCAGATTCATGAAGGTCACTTAGGCATTGAAAAATGTAAAAAAAAAGAGCTAGAAAACTGATTAGTTTTCTGGCCTGAACAAAATAAGGACACTGAGGTGCTGATAAGTAAATGTCAAGACATTTTTTTTTCTTTTTCCAATTAAACTTTATTTTAACAAAGTAAGCACAGACAAGTAATTACAACAGAGCAACTCTGTAGAGGTCATAGTAGAGGCAGATTTCAAAATGGAAATCAATATTGATAAGAAAAAAATAATAATAATAATGAAACAACTAAAATAGTAACAAGCAAAAATTGTTAAGAATTTTGCCAGAGTGCTGAGAACATCCCCGGTTTTTTATTCATAAACAAAATATTAGGTTACAACTGTTCTATTGTTCATTTACATATTTTGTTAATATGCAACTACAAATGCACCTCCCAAATAGCAAAACAGACATGAAATATCAAAATTGTTACAAATAATCAAGGTCCAAATACTAACAAATAAAACTGTAGTTTTACAATTAAGAACTCATCAAACTAATGCTGTTCTTTGTTGAAACCAGTGACTAGACTTATTGAAATGATGCACCAACAGTGCAGGAACGGTGCATATCATCTAGATATGCACCGTTCCTGCATATCTAGCAGTACTAGTAGTAGTACTACTGCCACTAAAGAGCATGAGGGCACACCACAGCACCGTTTTCACTGCATCCCTGGAGTACAGCAGCAACCTCTAGTGATGATACTGCTCCTGTCTTAACAACTGCCACACCCTGACATATCTGTGGTTCACACTCAGATGCTGCAGAAGGGTTGGCTGACCAGAGAAACACCTCCTGGATTACATTAGCACCAACCACTGCGGCTTCTGCCAGCAGCTCGTCATAAGGCACTCTCGTCAAACGGTGAGACGTATTAGACTGTACGAAGGGCTCTCTGCTAAGGGTGTCTTTGTTCCAGGAATGTACTTGATGTCAAACTGGAATGGTTCCAATTTAGCAATCCACCTCTGCTCACACGCGTCCCAGCCGAGATTTGGACAGGATGTTGGTCAGCGGATTGTTGTCCGCCTTAAAATGGGTGGTGTATGAGAAGTTCCATCACTGGTTGAGAGGTCACAAATTCACCGCGTGGACGAAGAATTCCAGTCGGTGGGCGGGATATTTAGATTGGGCATAGCTTAGCGCTTTACTTGCAAAAGCAGGCACTTGTGACAGGACTGCACCAAGTCCGTTGGGCACACCACAGGATCATTCTCCATAGACAGGAGAAAGGGCTCATTGAAGTTTGGGTGGGCCAGCACCACCCGATGTAGCAAAGACTGCTTTAGTTGATGGAAAGCCTGCTGACAATCTGCAGTCCAATCTTCAGCACGGAGCTGTTTGCGGATTTGGCGGCGTTTTCTCCCACCTCCATGCGGACCTTTAGAGCATGAGATCAGCCGAAACAATGGTTTGGCCTCAATAAACTGCTGGTAGTAGACTATGTTAAGAATTAAAAAGATGAAGAACTTGATCTTAGCTCGTTAATTAATTCTTAGTCCCGAATTCCTGTGTCTGTGTAAGTGTGCAGAGAGAAAAGAGCAATCATACGACGTCAGACTTCAGATATTCAGAGTTTTATCCAGAGAAAATCAATGCAAGAAGAATGTTACAATAATCATCTCACCTAGAACATCAAAAGTCCAAGACATTACAGAACAGAGACAAAGAACTGAGTAAAAAAGACAGAAGATGCATCCTCCGGGAAACTCTCACCCAGCACAAAGAGATTCCAACTTCTGCTGTAAACCAATCATTTTATAGAATGCGTAATCTCATCATTTAAATATATGCATTAGGAGGTGTGTTCTTTTCCTTTGTGTGGGCTGTCTCAATGTTAATTTTATTACCTCCTGTTAAAGAGCCCCAAAAGCAGATATACGGCAAACCCTTCTCGTATCAGCCGCTGTCCAGTTTGATATATGATTGCAGCTGCAGCGCTATCTGTGCCTCAAAATGTTTCCACAAGAAAGTAGTTTGTATTTTTAACCAAGCTTGCACACAATGTAATGCTAAATAATGACTATAAGTTTGGATCTAATAAGTAACTAATTAAAAACATGCTTAAAGAAATATAGTTAATTCTAATATAGAT